TCCATGGATATGTTATTGGCCACCCAATAATTTGTGTGCTAGGAGATATGACCCTCTAAAGTAGACCCTCGAAAAAGGCTTCACTTGGAAATTTCGGATTTTGATACGGTTGCTCTAAAATTTGGGTTAGACCCATTTCCCACTCAATTTGACCCCCTAAACAAGAATATGAAGTCGGATTTTCGAAAAACGAAACGGATTTTTAAAAAAAAAATATATAGCTAAACAAGTTTCCGGTAACTTCCGAAGCACATCTATCTCCATTCACGTGGCTAGTACGGTGCTTATCCGAGTTGTTGGTGAGTCCTCAATGATTCGAGGGCTATGTTATGTTTCCTACTCCTATGTTTTGAGACTTTAGCTTGCAATTGTATTTTGACTATGAGGGGAGCCGGTAGTATGTCATGGCCCCGTCCTATCTATGTATGTAGAGGTGTGCGTTAGACAAGTATTTTGTAAATGAGCTTGACTCTTGTTCTATGATGTCATTTTGAAATGGTTTGCCCTTAGTCCCTATTTCCCGTTAATTAATGTTGAATGTACTTCCGCGACCGATGAAGTGTGATGACAAGTTTGAGAGGCTTGTTTGAGGTTCCTTCGGGTTCCTCATTCGCCATGTCACGTCTAGGCCCTAGGCTTGGGTCGTGACAAGCTATTGAAATGACCCAAAAAGTTCTTTAAAATGTGTTTCGAAAGTTACCGGAAACTTGTTTAGCTATATATTTTTTTAAAAAAAATCCGTTTCGTTTTTCAAAAATCCGACTTCATATTCTTGTTTAGGGGGTCAAATTGAGTGGGAAATGGGTCTAACCCAAATTTTAGAGCAACCGTATCAAAATCCGAATTTCCAAGTGAAGCCTTTTTCGAGGGTCTACTTTAGAGGGTCATATCTCCTAGCACACAAATTATTGGGTGGTCAATAACATATCCATGGAAAGCCCTTTGAGTTAGCTACCTAACGCACTTCGTTTCACCTCATTCGGAGTTCGGACGAAGATGTTATGCCCATTTTCGTAAAATCTGTCCGGCAGGAAAGACAATTTCCAGTGAGCGTTTTTACTGTTCACCCGCCTCATTTTTTTTCTAAGTGTTGGACCATTTTTCCAAAGGGCATATGTTATTTCCTATATACCATTAGTTCAATTCCCATCTCTAAAACATTTCCCAAAACACCTCTCCTATACTTAGACACATTTTCTCTCAAGAACCCTAATCCAAAACCTTTCTCAAGATTGAAGAGACTCTTGCTCCAAGTTCCAAGCTTCCATTGAAGACACTCTCAAGACCTTCATAAAAACTCAAGGTATGTGGTGTTGAACTCATGGGTCCTTCCACCCATAGTGCCTAGACTCTATTCTACTCACTAATTCATGGTTTAAGTTAAGATTCATAAATTAGTCTTGTTCTTTGTAATAATTTCCTGCACATTGAATTTTAAACATGAAAAGTGATTGTTTTGAGCATGTTGTGACTCTAGAACTTGAACCTAAATTTGGAATTGATGTGGAGATTTTCATGTGGTATTGTGAGTGTTAAAAAGGTGTTGTTGTAGGTTGTTCACTGGCTTGGCTGCATAATTACTATCCTATTTTCCATGCTCTTTGATTTCATTACATGCCTTCAAGGTGTTTGACAAAATGTCCAACTATGGAGAATTGATGAATCGATGCTTTAAAGCTTAAGTTATGAGATGTATGGAAATCCAGAGATGTGTTGATGACAAACTAAGCTTGTGTATATGTTCATTCCATACGTGAGATTGCATTAGAGCCTAATGGGAATTTCCTATATAAAGTGTTGCATGACCATGCCCGGTCCGGGGGAAAAGAACCGGACAACCATGTGAGAGGTTTATATCTCACCACCTAGGATGTTTGGGGTGTGACCAACATCAACCATGTGAGAGGTTTATAGCTCACCACCTAGGATGCTTGGGGTGTGACCAACATCAACCATGTGAGGGGTTTATACCTTGCCACCAGGGTGTCCGGGTGTGAACGGCATCCCCCATCCTAAGTTGGGGTTATAGATTGGTTGGATCATGCATACACATATGATATCTACTATTAGTATAGATTTACTTAAACATGTTTTGACTTCACTTTGATCATGCATCCTCATATTGTTATTCATAATGCTTATGAAACTATTTCTTGTATTTCGATTGTGTCATTGTCTATTGTTGTGTTGCACCCCGCATACTTAGTACATTCCAAGTACTAACGCATATTTTGCCTACATGATGTCACCATGTAGGGACCGGAGCTACTCTTGATCCTTCTCTCCATTCACGTGGCTAATACTGTGCTTATCCGAGTTGTTGGTGAGTCCTCAATGATTCGAGGGCTATGTTATGTTTCCTACTCCTATGTTTTGAGACTTTAGCTTGCAATTGTATTTTGACTATGAGGAGAGCCGATAGTATGTCATGGCCCCGTCCTATCTATGTATGTAGAGGTATGCGTTGGACAAGTATTTTGTAAATGAGCTTGACTCTTGTTCTATGATGTCATTTTGAAATGGTTTGCCCTTAGTCCCTATTTTTCGTTAATTAATGTTGAATGTACTTCCGCGACCGATGAAGTGTGATGACAAGTTTGAGAGGCTTGTTTGAGGTTCCTTCGGGTTCCTCATTCGCCATGTCACGTCTAGGCCCTAGGCTTGGGTCGTGACAAGCTTGGTATCAGAGCACTAGGTTGTTAAATCCTCGGAGTCCAACACACCGCGTTGAGTAGAGTCCTAATCATGGTTGTGAAGCGCGCCACGACTATGAATGGGAGGCTACAAAACGTTTTAGGAAAGGTTTCCCTTCTTCATGTTCTATGTCGTGCTTAGAGTGCGATAAGGTGATTCCTCCCTAACGCTTGTTCTTTGGATTGCTAGATCATCATGCCAAACATGAGGGGAAGACGGGCCCGATCACCGGAAGAGCCACCCACCAATGGTGAGCTCCGTGATGCACTCACCATGCTTGCACAAGTGGTAGCTAACCAAGTGCAACAAGGAGCCCAAGCTCCTCGAACTACCACCCCGGGGGAAAGGGTGAGAGATTTCATGAGGATGAACCCTCCGGTCTTCCATGGTTCAAAGGTGGATGAGGACCCGCAAGAGTTCATCGATGAGGTATGCAAAATCTTGACCATTATGGATGTTGGTGCTTGTGAGAAGGCGGAATTGGCGGCCTACCAACTCAAGGGGGTTGCTCAAATTTGGTTTGATCAATGGAAGGGTGAGAAAGGTAATGGCTATGTGGTGTTGTGGGAGGAGTTTAAACTTGCTTTCCTTAATAGGTTCTTCCCTCTTGAGCTTAGGGAGGCAAAGTTGGTGGAGTTCATGAACTTGAAGCAAGGAGCTATGAGTGTGAGAGAGTATGCCCTCAAATTTGTCCAACTCTCCAAGTATGCACCTCACTTGGTGGCCGACTCTAGGTCGAGGATGAACAAATTTGTGATGGGTGTATCCGAAATATAAACATGTTGTTGTACACATATCAACATGCCCAGAAATATAAAATCAACGCGATCACAACAATAAATAATACTAGCACTCTCCCATTAAACTCAACAAAGAAGCACATTAACTCTTATGGTACAATTGAATTGGTTACAGGTCAAGGAGACACGCATAGAGTATTAGCACTTAATACATCAATTTGTCACTTAATGCAAAGGTCGGGTATACAGAAATGCATTATTCAAAATCGCGCGCTTGAGGAAACGAACAAAAACAAAGGATGAGGAGTAGAAGAGGGACCTGGAGTGTACGAGTGGCGAATTCAACGCCGATAGTGGATTTGGACTCTAAGAGAAACTCATTTCTGGTGAATCGGGAAAGCAAGTTGGATTTGCCGACTCCTGAATCGCCGATTAATACAACCTTGAACAAGTAATCGTACTCCTCTTCCGCTCTTCTCGCCATTTCCTCGCCCTGTTGAATCGCTCCTTCTGCCGATTCAGATTTACTCAAATACTGTAAAACGCCTTCGGATTCGGATCGATTTCTTTCTCTCTCTGAAATCTGAATGATTGAAGATCGTTGATGACGATGACAATGAAGCGTGAGGGAAACAGAGAATTTTCTTATGACGCAAATGCCCCCAAATTCTTGGTATTTAATTACAAATTTGCCCTTGAAGCTGTGTGACATTTCAAAGATGATGTGCTTTTCAAATTTTGACCTCCGAAATTTTCGCATTTTTAAATTTCCAATTCTTCGAACCGCATTTCTTTACAGAAGGAAAAAGTCCACTTCTTTTTTTTACTAATACTTTTATTTTTCGATCTTGTCAAATACGTATCTTATAACCATGTGAAAATTGTAAAATTAATTTTTTATCTTTCTTATGTGATACCTCAAACAAAGCTACTTCTCATTTTAAAATGACGGAATGTAAAATCAAATGTATAAATTTTATAAAATGCAGACATACTTTTATAATTTTTACATAAAGTTTACGAAATCCATTATGAATCTATAATTTTTATAGTTAAAAAAATATACTACGATCAAATTTAATTGTTGGGGGATATTAATGTAATCCTCTTAATCTTTCTAAATAGTTGTAGACTTGTAGCTATTGGACGGAGTAAGTAATTTCTAAAGGCTCTCATGGAAGCTTTTTTTTTTCCTCAGTGTTGTCTACAACAACAAATATTGAAACTTGACCACATGGATGAAATTAAAAGAGTTCGTACTTGTTCTTTACAACAAGTCAACAACAAATCGGTCTAATACCATAAGTGAAATCTAGAAAGGATGAGAATTTAGAGGTATCTAGACTCTAACCCTATCTTTGTGGAGTAGAAAGATTGTTTATGATAGACCATTCCATAAGTGGGGTCCAAAAAAATGAGATGTACACAGAAGAGAGATTATTTTTGATAGATCCTCGACTTGAATTTGTTCTTTAAGATCATGTATGTGTAGTGCTAAATGAGAAAGGAGCAATTGAACTCTTAAAGGGAAAACTTACAAATAAAACCTCAATTTCAACACAAGCAGACCATACAGTGTTTTCATCAAATGTACACACAACTCTACATGATTCTTTACATAACCATGTGAACTTATTTTATAATACAACAGAATTCTCATCATAGACACAACACCAACATGATCATTTTCCATAACCATGTGAATTTATTAATTACATAGTGCTTTAATCAAGTAGTAGACACAACTCCTGCGTGATCTTTTTTCCATAACCAATAAACATGTGAATAATTAGGAAGCAACTTCAAGAGATGGGTAATCAGTGTAACCAATAATTGGATCATTAGTGTAGAAAGTGCTCCTATTATACTTGTTAAGTGGAGCATTAACCTCAAAACGCTTTGGTAAATCTGGATTAGCCAAGAACATACGTCCAAATGAGATCAAATCTGCATAATTCTCATCGATGGCTTTGTCCCCATCAGATTTACCATAACCACCCGAAGCAATAAGTGTCCCCTTAAAAGCCTTCCTAATGGGAAGAAGACTTCTATTAGCTGTTTCTCTGGGCTCCATCACATGAAGATAGAGAACGCCAAGCTTGCTTAGTTCATTCGCCATGTAAGTTGCTAGTGCTTCTGAATTTGAGTCCTTTTTGCCATCAAAAGGAGATAGTTTTATACCAATTTTATCAGCTCCAATTTCATTTGCCATGGCTTCTACTATTTCCAGGGCAAGACGACAACGGTCCTCAATACTTTCATCATATTCATCAGTCCTACCGTGGATTTGATCATTCATGAATTCGTCAATCAGGTAGCCACCACTTGAAGCGTTGATCTCAATTCCATCAAATCCTTCATATATATCATGGGAAACTAGTTAAGCTATCAGATGCTTGGAAAATGAACTATAGGTGTGTCATTGAGTAAATGAATACTTCTCAATCTTCATTATAATGTTTGGATTCCATCATCAAACTTGTAATTGGTAAATATTGAATCACCTGCAGTTGATCAGTTATCAAATGGGGATTGAGTAAAATATAAGTTACCAGCTTTAATCGCGTTACGGGCTGCAATCCTGAAATCATTGACAATGCAAGGAATTTTATCAGATTTCAGAGGAAGAGGTGTTGGTTTCTCATACACTTGATCATCAGGTCCTGCATGTGAAAAAGAATACAGAAACCGCATATAATTGAGAGAAGCAGCAGAAACTACTATATGATTTTCCTTGACTACTGCATGCTTTGTTTATGTTTATCCACTACAAATTGTAAGTCTTACTGGTGGACCATCCAAGGCCGGAGAAAAATAATGCACTAATTGTAGGGACAGATAAGCGGCCTGAATGCCAAATTTGACAAAAGAAGACACCTCCTTTCTCATGAACACCCTTCACTACTGGTTTCCATGCCTCCACTTGCTCCTCATTCCATATTCCAGGCAAGTTTGGGCACCTTTAAGAAAATTGAAATATTGCTAATTATCAGTGAAACTTTAAAACAAATCCAGAGTTCCATGGAAAAAACTTGTATGTATCTCGTGTTTTATTCTCGATGACAACAACATACCACAAGTAAAGTTTGGGGAGGGTTGGGTGTAAGTAGACCTTACCCCTACCTCGTGAAGTAGAGAGGTTGTTTCTGAAGGACCCTCAGCTCAAGTGCAACAAAATCAGAATAGTTATGAATAGGAAAAACGACAATAAGGGAGAGCAGTGCAAAACATCATGTATAGTTCTTGAGGATTTGATTATTAGTAATTGAGCTTAATTATTCATTTTGCGATCAGAATCATGTTTGAATACTAATGTCTGGGCATCAATCACTAGTGTAGTTAGATATCCCAGAACGTACTTGGCTTTTATATATGCGTTTAAGTGGAGTTGTATTTTTGTGCTCAACTAGAATTGAACATGCTTTGCTCAATTTCATATGATATAGAAATACATGAAAACTATCTTATTTTGGGAGGAGGAAGAGAGGGGTAATCTACGTACTCCTTAGAAATATCAGATGCAGCAGCTGCTTCAGAAATGACAAGACCTCCATTAGTAGCTCTTTGAGAATAGTATTCAGTTACATGTGGCTGTGGAGTATTATTTTGTGATCTGTTCCTCGTAAGTGCTGGAAAAACTATTCTGCAATATTCAAGAGTTATAATATCCTATGTTAAGAGTCTAAATATACGATAGTTATTGCGTTTAAAGAGCTAATTCTTCTAGGCTCGATAATAATATGAAGGTAAAAAACAAAGGTAACTGATGAAAATGACGTGTATATACTGACCTATGAGTGAGTTCGAATCTCCCCAGTTTGTAAGGAGTACAGAGTGGCACAGCAGAGTTAGAATTTGCCTCCATCTTCAAAGTCTCTCTCTTCTCTTACTTTGTGTGCTAGGCAAAGTCAGAATACCCTCCAAATATATAGAAAAATATGACAGCTACTAACTGTATGAATATCTTTGCTGATAAGCAAATAATATTAGGAATAATCTTATTAAAAGTTCTAAACAGCTTGACAATTAAAACTATATTCCATTATGTAATTATATGGGGTAGTTAGCATTTTCGGTCATTGACCAAAGAATCTATTGCGTGTTTTACATGATTATGAATTTATAAAAGAAAGAACAATGAAATAAAAATTGTTTGGTCAATGTATAAAAACAACTTGCTTTATTTGAAAGCTAGGAAATTTGCATATGATAATATGATCAATGATTAAGAATGACTTAGCCTCACTACCTTCACAAGTTAGAGGGCTAAGGTTGTGTACGCACCATCCTTCGGTGGCGTAGCCACATAGTGTTTGTCGGGAAAAAATATCGTATATACAAGTAAAATGATACACGAAATGATTAAATAACATATTTTGGACACCCTTAACATAACAAGTTGTTATAGCACCTCCTTGGAATGAAGAAGTGTTTGTGTGTTCGAATCTCACTAGTTCTACTTTTTGAAAACAGCTTTTGTTGTGCTATTTCTAACCACCTTTTGTGAAATTCCTGGCTCCGCCACTATCATCCTTCCCAGACCAAACTTGTGGGACTACACTTGATATGTTGTTGTTGATTAAGAATGGCTTGCTCTTAAAAAAAAATAGGCAACTTGCAAATGAATGTGTGGTCAATGATTTAAAATAACTTACTTTGCCCCCAAAAAATAGGCAACTTGCAAATGAATGTGTGGTCAATGATTTAAAATAACTTACTTTGCCCCCAAAAAATAGGCAATTTGCACCTGATCATCACCAAAGGTCAAAACCCATAAACAATCTAACACGCAGAGCCTGCATTGCAATAATGAGGTATTGGTACAGGTCAAGCTTAGAATAGTGCAGCTAGCATGTTTGTATTCTACTTAATGTGGTCTTAAGGAATCAAATGAATTATGAATGCACTAACTTTGCCCTAATTGTAGATTTAATTTCTCCAATGGTCACTCAAAAACGTGACTTCCAGAGTTGAGCAGAAATTAACCCCTAACTGTGGGGATTAATGAGAATGTTGTAATTTGTAAATTTAGGCCGTAAATCGTAATTTATGAAAAACATAAAAGAGAACAAACAAGCATTCTGGGTGTGTTTGGTATGATGGAAAACATTTTTCGGAAAATGTTTTTCAATTTTCTCATGTTTGGTTGGGTTAAATGTTTTGGAAAATGTTTTTCCAAATCAACTCATTTTCCTCAAATTTAAGGAAAATGACTTTCCTTCAAAACTTAAGGAAAACATTTTCCAAAACTCTCTTCCAACTTCAAACTACAATTATTTTTTTGTTAAAAAAATCAATTTATTTTGTCCCTACCCTCAAACCAGCCCCCAACCAAACCCCCTCCCCCCCCAAAAAAAAAATAATTTAAAGCTTGTTTTTAAATTCAATTTTTTTACCCACCCTCACCCCTACCCCTACCCCCACCCCCTCCCAAAAAAATATTCCCCCCCCCCCCAAATCAATTTTTTTTATTGTTTTTAAAAAATATTTTCAACATCAATTTTTTATTTTTTCATCCCGATCCTCGATCACCCACGCCCCCTCCCCGGCCTCCGCCCCCCAAAAAAAATTGAGTTTGTTTTTTAAAAATATTTTCAACTTCAAAAATTTTATTTTTTCATCCCTACACTCGATCCCCCCCCAAACCCACCCACCCCCTACTCGCCACTCCTACTCCAAAAAAAATAATTTAAGTTTGTTTTTAAAAAATATTTTCAATTTCAAAATTTTATTTTTTCACCCTACCTTGGCCCCCCCTCACGCACCTCCTACCCAGCCCCCCACCCACCCCACCCCCCAAAAAAAAATTTAAGTTTGTTTTAAAAAATATTTTCAATTTCAAAATTTCATTTTTTCACCCCTATCCTCGACCCCCCCCCCACCCACCCCCTATCGGCCCCCATCCCCCAAAAAAAATTAAGTTTGTTTTTAAAAAATATTTTCAACTTCAAAATTTCAATTTTTCACCCCTATCCTCTACCCACCCCCCACCCCACCCCCAAAAAAATTTAAGTTTGTTTTTAAAAAATATTTTCAATTTCAAAAATTATTTTCTACCCTAGTAAAAATAAAAGATATTTCTCAAAAAAATAAAATCATTCATAAATCAAACACTAAAAATCTTTTCCGAAAAATATTTTCTACTCACCAACCAAACATGAGAAAATAAGTCAAAAATCAACTTGTTTTCCAGGAAAACATTTTCCTTCATACCAAACACACCCTCTATCTTCTATTTTTTCTCACTGGAACATTGCAAAATTATCAAAAAAAAAAAAATTACCTGAAAAAGAATTCCATTTGCCTGAAGGAGCTATAAACCAAAAATATTAGCCGGTGCCCGGATCTGGTATTCCGTTCAAGCTCCGGAGACATAGTTAGAAGCACTTCTCAAATCCGAAACTGAAAATGCTAGTACCATTATTGGCCTTTGATCTTGGGCGTATTTATGCGCCTAATGACCAATTTATCCCATATATATAGCTAAGTTGAGAGCAATTTTAGTAGTCGGAATTATATTTTGAGGGTCTTTTGATGTAGCTTCGTCGAACCAATATGATTAGATGTTTCAGGGTGAAAAACAAAGAAGAATGAGCCAAAATAGGGCACCTGATCAGAGGTCGGAAAATAGAAGCTGGAGAATACACCACGCGAGAGAATATCCGCGTCGCGGAGCCACAACGCGTAGGCAGAGATGGAATTCCACTTAACAGAAGAGTGCGCGATGGGGGCGCGTCGCGGACCTGGTTCATATGCGTGCAACTATAGGCGAGGGAACAGGTCCGCGTCGCGGACCTGGACACCAGAAATCGGCCACGTGTTTTATTTTGACTATAAATAGTTTAAGTGTATTATTTCATAAACGGGGAGTTCGAAATTAAACGAGAGAGTAGCGACTTGGGCGACTTGAAAAAACCCTTTCTAGGGCTTTTCTTCTACTCTTCCATTTTGGTAAACTCTTTCATAATCCATAAATATTGCTTGATGATTATTTGTTCTATGAGTAGCTAAGTCCCTTTTTCTAGGGTTGTAGCTACAACTTATGGTATATTAGTATTTGTTTCTAGCATGAGATGGGCTTTCTTGTGATTTATGCTTACATTCTTGTTTAACTATCTTAATGCATGATCAACATTAAGATACACTTGTTGTCTACTCTTGAACTCGGGAGATGAATGGAGGGATAGAGCTAAAGAATGTGGGAAGTGTGTTCACTCTAGAGTGAAATTAGAGTGTTTTGCATATAGGGTAGTCTTATACCTATATACCGCACTTGCTTAATATGCAAGAAGATAGCTTAATGCTCCGCCATTGGTTCATGTCTATCCCCGCTCAACGATGTAGTTAGGCTGTCAATGGTGGTAGGCGATTAGAGGTTGGGAGACCATGATCGTAAAAGGAACCTTGCAAATCCATAATGAAATTAGTTTGTCGAATGCTAGGATACAAGTAATTTTATGCCAGTAATCGAGTTATGCTGCAACCCTAGATTACTTTTCCATATTGTGAAATTCGCTTATGTAAAACTGTTTGATTGTAGTACTTACTGTGGGAGATTGTTCAACTTAGTGATTATAAACCAGTTTCTAAAATTGTTTAACACATAAGTAAAGTTATTTTAAACCTAACAACGTTGTTGTCTGTGATTGGAAGTCCCTTGGATTCGATAATTCGGCTCGAAAGAATCGTTGTACTACTAAAGTGACCACGTGCACTTGCGTGCGATTTTAAGAACCAACAGCCTTCCTTTATCAGTTCTCCACCACGCCATTGTTACCGAGTCGTTTGACATGCATGCCAAGTTTGCTGCAGTTACTCCTTTTCTCACCTTTAAGATTTTCGACAAAAATCCCACGTATAAAATTGAGATTATTTTTGCCGATAAATAGCACACTTTATCCAATTTAATTTTTAAGTTTAGATTACATTAAGTCGAAATTATCTTAATTATAAGAATACTGTATTATTATCTTTTTTTTAAGGCTTAGTAAGTTGTACAAAGTTACTATTATATTAGGCAAAGTGTGAATCAAAAATATTTATGTTTAGAAGATGAAGATGTGTGGCCATATTAGAAGGAATATGGTTAAGAACAAAGTTAAATGTAACTACAATAGGTGGAAATAGTGTCTGTGACCGATATAATAAGGAAAGTGAGACTGATATTTAAACATATGTGTTGGAATATCAGGAATATCAGGCCCAACTAATGAATTGGACAAAAGGAATTTGGGTTCATTTGTTAAAGGCCCAGCTGATGATAGCAATACGTGTACATAGGAATATTCCTCTCTTACAAGTTTGTTTTAAGTTTGTTAGAACCTAGCCTATAGTATAGGGACACCTGTATAGAATATAGCTGTTTTTCCTTTTCTTCTACTTGTATAAATGGAATGGAGCACTGATCAATAAAATATACAGAGAAAATTTCCCATAATCCTTCTCATTTACAACATGGTATCAGAGCATTAGGGTTCTTATCCTATTCATTTCTGCTCTTTTCATTTCTTTTGGTAATCTGCTTTGTTTCCATGGGCGATTCACTTCCTTCTGATGGCTCCACCACACCAACCACCATTGGTACTGCTTCAGCTTCAGCTGAAAGGGTTGTTTTGGACACCTCTCATCCTTTCTTTCTTCATGCCTCAGATTCTCCCGGTATGATCCTTGTTAGCACCATCTTTGATGGTAAAGGTTACGGTGGTTGGCGTAGGGGCATCTTGATAGCCTTATCGGCTAAAAACAAGGTTGGTTTCATTGATGGATCTATCATTCCCCCAAGTATCACTTCTGAATCTCACAGATCTTGGTCTAGATGCAACAACATGGTTATTTCTTGGCTCTTGAACTCCCTTTCAAAGGAGATTGCTGAAAGTGTCTTATACTCAAAAACAGCAAAACACATCTGGGAGGAGCTTGAGGAAAGGTTTGGCCAAAGAAATGGACCTCTTCTTTATCAACTGCAAAAGGAGATCAGTGAATTAGCTCAAGGAAATTTAGACATTGCTACATACTACACAAAACTGAAGAGACTTTGGGATGAGCTGGACAGCCTTGATATATGCCAAGCTTGCACCTGTGATTGTTCATGTGGAGGTAAGGCTAAAACTCACAAATCTGAACAGGATGGTAGGCTGATTCAATTCCTCATGGGATTGAATGAAGCTTATTCAGGACCTAGGAGCAATTTATTGTTGTTGTCCCCTCTGCCGTCAGTGAACTATGCTTATTCTCTGCTAATCAGAGATGAAAAGCAGAGGGAAGTTCAAATTTCACAACATCCAGGTGTTGCTGCTTTTTATGCCTCTAAACAGCCTTATGTAGGTCAGAACTATGGTGATGTTCCTCCTAACTATATTGCTGGTCCTTCTAACTATGTTGCTGGATCTTCAAAGCAACACTCTAGTGGACAGAAATTTACTTCAGATAGGAGAGTTGGGACTGAAGGAAAGAAAAATGTATCTGGCTTATTTTGTTCTTATTGTAAAAGAACAAATCATACTATAGACAATTGTTACAGGTTGATTGGTTTTCCAGCTGACTTTAAGTTTACTAAGTCTAAGAGAATGGGACCTCCAGCTAAGAGCAATGCTGCTTATTCAAATGAAGAGGCTGGAAACAGTTCAGGGGACAGACCAATGACTCAGGATCAGTATCATAACCTGTATCAACTTTTACAGCATGTGAAGCTAGGCTCAGATATTCAGAATAACACTGAGGAAGTTGCTACTGCTAATTGTGCTGGTATCACCTCCTTCACCTCACCTAGATCTTACTCAACTGTATCAGTAAATTCAGTTTCTTGGATTTTGGATTCTGGTGCTTCAGAGCATATGACATCTAATTTTGGTCTCTTGTTTGATGTTAAGATGCTTCATAAACCCATATATGTCGATCTTCCTAACTCTACAAGAGCCCTTGTGTTTAAATCAGGATCTGTTTCTTTATTTCCTGGATACACAATTCATCATGTGCTCTTTGTCCCCTGTTTCAATTATAATCTTCTATCTGTTTATAAATTATGTTTACAATTCAACTCTATTCTCACTTTCTCTGTTTTTGGTGCTATTCTGCAGGGCCCTTCCATGAAGAGGCCACTGGTTCTTGGTAGAGTCACTAGGGGGCTATATCTTCTGCACTCAGCTGGGACCAGTCAGCTCCACTCTACACCTAGTCTTTCTTTTCCCGGCAAGCCTTTTAATTCCGTTTGTAATCAAAGTGCTAAGGCACAAGTTTCAGATTCTTCTTTGTTCTTAGGATCAGTTTTTGTTGATGTAAACACTTGGCATTGTAGACTTGGTCACATGCCTTTTTCTAATATGAAGTTTATTTGCTCTGTTCCTACTACTTTAGTTTCTTCTCCTTGTGATGTTTGTGCAAAGGCAAGACAAACTAAGTTACCTTATGCATCTAGTTCCTCCAAGTCTAAACATATTTTTGATCTCATACATGTTGACACTTGGGGTCCCTACAAAACTCAAACACATGATGGTTTCAAATACTTTCTCACCATTGTAGATGATCATAGTCGAGCTACCTGGACATATCTTTTAAGCACCAAATCTAATGCTTTCACTATATTGAAACAATTTTTAGCTATGACTCAAACTCAATTTCACACTAAAGTCAAAATTCTTAGGAGTGATAATGCTCTCGAATTGGGCAGTAGTAAGGCAGCATCTGATTTCTTCAATTCTGAAGGTATAATCCATCAGACATCTTGTGTTTTCTCTCCTCAACAAAATGGTGTGGTGGAGAGAAAGCACAGACATCTGTTAGAAGTCTGTAGGTCTTTGTTTTTCCAATCTAAAGTTCCTACACATTTTTGGGGGGAATGTCTCCTAACAGCAACTTTTTTGATCAACAGATTCCCTACTAGAATTTTAAACATGAAAACTCCTTATGAGCTCTTATTTGGTCATCCACCTAGTTATTCTCTTTTAAGATGTTTTGGCTGTCTTTGTTATGCATCAACTCTGCCTGTGCATAGGTCCAAGTTAGACCCTAGATCAATCAAATGTGTCTTCTTGGGTTACCCTTTTGGGAAGAAAGGGTACAAGGTTTTAGATCTAACTACAAACAGAATTTTTGTGTCGAGAGATGTTGTTTTCCATGAAAATGTCTATCATTTTTCCTATACTTCTCTTAGTGTCCCTACTTTTCCTTTTACTCAATCTATTCCCGCTTCTACAGATTACTCTCCCACTCCTTCTTCCTCTTTTGATACTTCATCTGACGTACCTGAACTCTCCCTTGCATCTCTTACTACTTCAGATTTATCTTCTCCTCCTCTTGAGCTTCAGCAGGACATGGTGCTCCCAGTAGTTCAGTCACAACATCCATCCATCAGACACTCTTCTAGAGTCCGTCACCCTCCTAAATATCTCAATGATTATATTTGCAACTCAGTCATTCTCACTGACCTCACTCAGCAGTGTTTTGCTGCTACTGTCTCTCCTCCCTCTCTTTCTTTCTCAACTCTGTCTTGTACTAATCAGTCTTTTCTAAATTCAGTCTCCTACATCACCGAGCCTACCTCATACTCTCAAGCTTGCTTACATCCTGGCTGGCAGTTAGCCATGACAAAGGAATTTGAGGCACTCAAAGCTAACAATACATGGGACATAGTTCAATTACCCGAGGGTAAGAAGGCTTTGCCTTGTAAGTGGGTCTATAAGATCAAATATAAACAAGATGGCACGGTTGAAAGATTCAAGGCACGACTTGTTGTGCGGGGGGATATTCAAAAGGAAGGCGTTGATTTCACAGAAACCTATTCCCCTGTTGTCAAAATGACAACTATTCGTTGTCTTTTGGCTGTGGCAGTGAAAAAGAATTGGCATATTTCCCAACTAGACGTCAATAATGCCTTCTTACATGGTGATTTGCAGGAAGAGGTCTATATGAAGTTCCCTGTTGGTATGCCAGCACCTAGTCAATCACATGTATGCAAGCTCAAGAAATCTTTATATGGGTTGCGCCAAGCTTCCAGGCAATGGTATGCTCGTTTGACTGCAGCTTTGAATTTCAAGGGGTATTCTCATTCTCTTAACGACTATTCTCTCTTCTTTAAGAAAGTTCAAGGCAAGGTGTTTATACTAGCGGTTTATGTTGACGACATTCTACTTACAGGGGATGATCCTTTAGAGCTTGAGTCTCTTAAGTTCTTTCTCAATTCTGAGTTTAAAATCAAGGATTTAGGTGCTGCTCATTATTTCTTAGGCATGGAAATCATCAGAGAGCCTCAGGGTATAATTTTGGGACAAAGAAAATTTACGTTGGATTTATTAAATGATTTTGGTTGCACAGACTTGATGCCAGTGTCTTCACCATTGGATCCTGCTACAAGACTCCAACTTGATGAGGGGGAACTTTTGTCAAATCCTACTTTCTATCGTATGTTGCTGGGTAAATTGAACTTTCTCACACATACACGCCCAGACCTCTCCTTTGCGGTTCAACATCTTAGTCAATTTATGCAATCTCCACGACAACCTCACCTAGATGCGGCTGTCCGATGGCTCCGATATCTTCTCATGGACCCTGGTTTGGGTATTTTCATCCCTTCTAATTCTTTCTTTGATCTACTTGCCTTCTGTGATTCTGATTGGGGGCGTTGCCCAGATACTAGACGTTCAATCAGTGGTTATTATATTACTCTTGGTGGTTCACCTGTATCGTGGAAATCAAAGAAGCAGTCGTTGGTATCTCTTTCATCAGCTGAAGCTGAGTATCGCTCCATGCGAAGGGTTGTGGCAGAAATCACTTGGTTGGTTCGTTTACTTGCTGATCTTGGTGTTCCTTCTCCTCTACCTGTTCCTCTTCATTCGGATAACCAGACAGCCATTCACATCGCCAAGAATCCAGTGTTCCACGAACGCACCAAACATGTGGATCTGGATTGTCATTTTGTGCGGCAACAATACCTTTCCGGGCTCATTTCTTTGAATTTTATCCCTTCAACTGCTCAATTGGCTGATGTGTTCACAAAGCCCCTTACTGGGCCAGTTCATCGATCTTTCCTAGACAAGTTGGGGATTGTTTCACCACCCTCCAACTTGAGGGGGGTGTTGGAATATCAGGAATATCAGGCCCAACTAATGAATTGGACAAAAGGAATTTGGGTTCATTTGTTAAAGGCCCAGCTGATGATAGCAATACGTGTACATATGAATATTCCTCTCTTACAAGTTTGTTTTAAGTTTGTTAGAACCTAGCCTATAGTATAGGGACACCTGTATAGAATATAGCTGTTTTTCCTTTTCTTCTACTTGTATAAATGGAATGGAGCACTGATCAATAAAATACACAGAGAAAATTTCCCATAATCCTTCTCATTTACAACAATATGAAGAGGAGGTGTGAAGATGTATGTGTCAGTGAGGAGGGGGGGGTGAGAGGTTGATTTTAGCAAGGGTTAGGAAAGGTAAAGATAGGGTCGACAAAGAATTGAGAGAGGTGATTAGACAAAACATAACACAATTTCAATTAATTAAGGACACAACTTTAGATAGGAAGGATTAAGGTCAAAAATTAAATTAAAACGTTAGAAGGTAGTCTAATCGTGTCGTACTCGAAGATATAAGTAATGTATGCGTACATCATAACTTTTCTAAGCACCCGACTTATGGTCCATGATCTTTTATTTACTGGTTCAATATGTTAAAATTATTTCTTAAGAGCAAATTAATTGCTTTTTTTTTAACTATACCCTTGTGATTCTTTCGAATTTTCAAAATATCATTAATAACGATAATTTAATAAAACAAAAATATTTAATTTGCAATTTCTTAAAAGAGTATTACTAGTATTTATGTCCAAACGGTAAATATATTGTACCAAGAAAAAGGACAAAAGTATTTGTCTTAGATAACAGAAAAATAGAAGAAAGAAAACAGAAGAGAAAAAGCGGACGATAATACCATTAGACAAGAAAAGGTGTTTGATAGCGAGAGAGAAAAGAAAGCATAGAGAAAAAAAGCAAAACAGGGAGATGAGAGGGGTCTCTAATGGGAGATCAATTCCCTTTCTTCTCTTCTTCCTTTCGTTGTCTCATCAATTCATCACAGGTTTGCATGCAATCACTCAGATCTTGATTTTCCCTTTTTTTCCGATTCTATTTTTGTTATATGATTGTTTTAATGGGTTATTTCGTATTGGTAAATGTTTCTAATAGATCCCTTGTGTTTAAGGAAGAATGATGAGTTTGGAATTCGGAAATAAGAGTGTCAATTATCGATCTCGATTCAATTCAATATCATTAACCCTCTTTCTTTTTCAAGAATTGTAATTGAAAATGTGCAAAAAAAAATTGTACTAATAAGAATAAAGATTGCGTACATAGGCTAAGATGAATTCGTAATTTACTATTGCTTTTACTGTCGTATTTAGGATAAGGGTTGTGTGTGAAAAGGTTGTCATTTTCTAATTGCCATTTGTCTCTGTCTAGTTTTGAGAAAAATGGAGTCTTGTGACAAATTCAAGAAAATGAAGATGATCTTGTCTTGATGTTACAACAACTCAATTACAGCTTCAGATTCCTTTTTCCTTTTTTTTTGGTTGGTGGTGAAATGAATTACTGTGGTTTGGACATGTGAAGAGGTGCAGATGCTCCAATGAGGGGGTGTGAGAGGTTGGCTGTGGTGAGCTTCATGAGAGGTAGAGGTAGGTCGAAGAAGTATTGGGGAAAGGTGATTAGACAAGACATGTCGCATCTCAGCTTCCTGAGGAGGTAGCTTAGGGTGGTAGGTTAGTGGGTAGTTGAACGTCGTCTTTTGTCCAACGAGATAGGTTTTTCCTTGTGTTTGCTATGTCTCTACCATTTCTGATTTTCCAAGGGTATGCAGTATACTTTACTATTTTAGGTAGAACTACATGCAAATATCAACCAATTAGGAATATACCCTTATAGCTCGTAAATGGGACAATGAGAAAACTATGTTTTTAAGAAGATAGTTGTTAGTTGATCCCGCTTGCATACCTCAAATTTGTAAACAATGGAGGAGAAACTGAGGAATGGAAAAAGATCTGAAAAGGTAATGAAAATATCATGTTAATAATTTGGCTCTTGGTAAATGATTGCTAGTAGGTGAGAACAATATGCTATACCTTTCTGCCTAGAGTTAATCACGACCTCCACTCTCAATCAAAAACTTTTGAGGATTAGTCCAATCAATTTGCCAAATATGCTGATAATGTCACCTAAGCACTCACCAATAAAAAGGCTATCTGTGGAAAGGAAAAATCTGAAGCACTTCCCAGTAGGTTGTTGAAGTTGCAAAATTTACAAGGAAAATGAGTATGATTAACTAGTCGTACCGGTTTACATGAGAGATCACTGCAGGATAAGCTTTCTGACTATGCCAGCAGACCATAATTTTAATCAAAGTGTCCCAGCTGGGCGTTGTAGAAAGAGACCACTGTCTTTGTTGATTTCTTCACACTCAAGCTTATATATTGTAATGTGCATTCCATCCACTAGTAATGACTGCCCCGACATGGTTCCATTATTTATTTATTTTAGATGAAGTAATAGAAGATTTCATTACAGGCATGACATGGTTCCATTAATTGAGTAAGCCCCAGTAAGGCTTAGACACTTCTATTTGTCCATCCCTTACCTTGACTCCTGACTGCTCCCAGTTCCATCGTTTGCTTCTTGTGAATTTAGTGTCCATTCCTATATGTCTAATATTCATCATTTGTATTCTCTTCACCACATCATTCACTCTAGCACCATCTTCTATGTTTCTGGGACATAAAAGGGAGAGTCAGTGTTGTTGTGGAAAAGATTTGAGCTCAACTAGGGGTTCCACAATTTGTCCGTCCTTGACATGGAATCAATATGCTTGAAAATCTAGCTCCCCATAGGTGTTGCTACCATTTTATGTTCTTTTGTCCTTGTTCAAAGATACCCAGGAACGCACCCATCAAACCTGTTTATGGCTACAGTTTTATGACAAGCATCTGTATACTTGAATTTGTTTCCGTTTTGTCGGTTTGATTTTTTATATGTGTGTGTTTTACTTTCAGGCTTTTCAGACGATTCTTTAAATCCCAAAAATGGAACAAAAGTTGATACTCATGCTGCATCCAGCAGTAACACTGGGTCAACTGTACTCATTGTATGCCTTGCCCTTGTGGCAGTAGTGCTTCTGTCATTTTTCCTTTTCAAGTTTTGGCAAAAGAAGAAGCGTGAAGAGCAGTATGCTCGTCTGCTAAAGTTGTTCGAAGAAGATGATGAGCTTGAGCTTGAGCTGGGTCTTCGGGATTAAATTTGTGTCAGATGTTAACAATCAATGTATTGAGGTGAGGCTCCTTATTGTACTCTCTTGGAAATGTTGCTCTGCTTTCTACTCCTAGCTTTTACATGGAATTTTGGAATTATTGTTTGGTGAATAAGCATAATGTTGTTAGCACATACCCTTCTTACCATTTAAGAAGATCATTCGGGTTTTTTTGAGTGTCTCAAAATGTTCAAAACTACTAACTCTGATCAACTGCATGGAAAAATTGTAGCTTAAACTTTAAACTGTGTAGTTCTGCTGTCTCTGGAAGTAATCTTGTACAAAAACTTCAGCATGATATGAGAATTGCTTTTATCTAGCATTACTGATGTCATACCTGAGCAAAGTAACTCTTTCAGCCAATTTGCTCTGCCAAACTGTCATATAAAAAATGGGAAGGAAGGAGCAAATATTACTCATTGTGCACCTTCCTAATGTTTATTACTGTATAGATATGCTATATGGGTAGTCTTAACTCATATTTTCATGTAAGTTCATTCATAATTTCTGTAGGATGCTTTATCTTTTTGCACAGTCTTCTTCTATTTCCTTTTTGTACCAAGTTGCAGGCAATCAAGCTATCTAGTCTTTATTGTTGCTATGCTTTATCAGTAACGTAGTTCCCTTTAGCTAATCTCAAAATTGTATCAAGATGAGTGATATATGGCTTGCTTTCTTTTGCCAAATATAATTGCAACACAATTTTATGTTTCTCCTTTACTAAATTCTTTTACCCTGATTTTCAGTTATCCTGTGTTGAGGTTGTCTATCTTGGCAAACGATTATGGAATGTGGAACTTATCAGATTTTATAAGTTATTAGCTTATGTGTGCTCTGTAAATTTAATGACTGGCATATATGCTCTAATAGTTTTCGTTACAAATGTTAAGGTCTGTGCCTGTATCAGATTTTATATCCATGAGCTTATATGCACCCTGTTATTATGCTATATCAGTAACATAGTTCCCTGTATGATTTGATTTGGTCTTTGACTCCTAGGGGTGATTCCCCAGGAGGACCTGGACAAGTGTTTGATGTGCACGTGGTATATTCTACGTAGTTTCTTTTAATCTTTTGTAATTTGGCTATTATATTATCATGTTACTGTTTAGGCTCGAGTGTCAGCCTGTATGGACATGAAGTGGTCATGCTGATGTTTCTTTTTTGAATGCCTATATGTTATTTGTTTGTATCCAATATCTGCTAAAACTGTGATAATATGCAAAGGCTGTCAACTATTTGGAACGATCAGTCTTATTCGCTTATTGCATCTCACTTTTGCTTCCACTTACTATTTACCTGATATCATCTCGTTGTGTGCAGATGTAAGTAATATCTTAAATCCAGATTCTTGATTCAATGATGACAATGGGTTGGATTGATTCCAGAATATTGACATAAATCAAGAGAAATCTTCATTTCACAATTTGTAGAAATATGTATCAGTGTTAGCAGAACCAAAACTATCATGCATTCTGTTTTTTGGGTACAGCGATCGATGGATAACAGATATTGCCAAACGTCACCCTCCAAAATGAGGATTGTAACTCATCCGTCACAATTTCACTCTGTAATAGTTGTGTAGTAGGTGTTTGCAGCTTGTTAGATTGCTTTAAAATTGAGGAATAATTTTAATCAAAGCTCAAATGAGCTAAACTGTACTTCAAGTTGTGCAAATTTGCTTTTGTACCCCCTGATGTATCACTAGGCCTTAAATATATGTTGTTTTTTGTATGTGTTAAATGTTGTATCCTCTACATAAGAAGTCACATTTCATCAATGAAAATTTTACTATTTTTCACAACGAAAGGACAAGCCATTGAACAAACAAGACTGCAGGTTAAAATTGAACTAACATCAGTGACCCTAAAGCAAGGAACTGAAGTACTGGTATAATTTAAAGCAAAATATTCAGCATATCTTGTCAAACTTCTGTTCTCAATATATTTATTCAGAAGTTGAAGCAGTTGACCTGCAATAATTAAAATAATACATGAATCTCACAAGTATCGAATAAGAAACAGATTATTCTGATTGATTTAACACATTGACCACTAAACCTAGATTAAGACTACAGGTCAATACCTCTAGGAAAGATGGTTACAGAAAAAGAAAATAATAAACATTACGCCTATATCTAAAGAATCTGTCTGAAGGATTCCTGCATTCTGTGCCAGAAGCAAACTTGGGAAGTCTTCCTAATCGGGCAGATAAGCTATCATCTGTGTCGATCACTAGACAAGCAGCATTTCAGCAATTAGTTGTCATCTTCCCGTCTTTGCTCGTTTCATTCCTGTATTACTAAATGGAGACATGCTAGGGCTCATTCGGGGACTCATGCTTGGGCTTTCTTCCCTTAGTGTGCCATTTAGCATGGCCAATTCTCTTAGTTGTTGCTTCTTATAAACATCCACAGATTCATCCTGATACAGGAAAAACGAGGGAGAAAAGAGTCAAAGGGCTAGATAAAAGTTGGAAGCAAATGATGGCAAATGGCAACTATATCGTTTTAACTCGTACCACAGGCTTTAACAGGTTCTCTAGGATCGACACTGCATGATCAATGCGGGCGTCAATGATGTCTTCCGGAAATTCAGCCTCCACCAGGAGATGTAGTGGCTCTTTGAGGTGCTCATACCCAGGTTTATCTTTCAATTTCTCTTCCTACAGGAGGGAAAAAAGAGCAATGCAAAAAAGCAATTTAAAACTAACTTATAAGTTTAAGCTACTTGTTACCTCCACCAACACAAGTACCAGGTAGGTTTGTCAACCAAAACTCAAAAAATCCACTTTAAGAATTAAGCATTATTTTGACAAACCATTTCGTAGTCGTCATTTTCAGACAAAAACAAAGGATGTATGTGTGTGTGACAGAAAACACTTCTCTTATAGGCCCTCATGAAGCAAGTCATAGTAAATCTAAGTTTATTCAAGCTTGCTCTTACAACAAACATTGAGTGAGAAGAATAAAAGGGCCTAATACCTTGATAGAGTCCTTGACTGAGCCCTGTCCTCTGATGTAGACTCTACACTCTGTAATGGCTTCAACTCTCTTTAGGGAATTCCCACGTGGTCCCAAAATTCGACCGACAAAATTATACTGCATGGTTTTAACTTGGTCAAGATCTGTTTCAAAATTTAGGAAGAAAAAGAGCAACATGAAACACCACCCTCATAAGGTTCACATACATTTGGGAAATTCTCCACAGGAACATCCAGTCTTATGACTCTCTTCACAACAGGAGTGGTTGCAGTTCCCGGCACAACATGCCAATCCAGAGGGGAAGGTTGAAATGGCGCCATTTTCTGGAGAAGTCTATTTTCCTGTAGTAAGTAAAAACATCAAGGGGTAAATCCTCCAGCAATGTCCGCGAGCAGTTATTCAAACTCCTTCAAGGTATGAAGATGGATTCAACAAATATATTATCAAAAGCTACTTACAATACCTGTAATGCGGAGTAGGAGTACAACTCCTACAATACCTGACTAAGACTAACACCACAAAAAGTGCTAAGCTTTTTTTTCTTTCTATTTATCTAACTAGGTTATGCTTTGTGCTTTGACAAGGAAGCAACAAGTGCGAGGAAAAATGGGGTTACATTTTCATTAAAGTAATCCACGTGGCAAGGATAGATTACATTTCTGGGAAGAGCAAGAAGTTCTTAATAACATCTGAGAATTTTATTAGATGGCATATAAGGATAAAATCACAGGTCAAAACAGTAAATTTGAATGCTTAAACTCTGAACAGAGTTGGCAATACCATCCTCTACAAAGCTACTATTATTGATAATGATGCATGAAAATTCCACCTGCTGTACTTACATTTCTTTCTAACATTTGCGAACAAGCATAGTGTTCTAAGGCTCAAGCTACATAGATTATTGAAACTACAAAATTGAGCACAATATTTCCTGAGCTTAAGAAAGTGAATCCTCCTGAATACAGAAGCATTTTATCTAGCTAAGTAATTGTCAAAAGGAGTAACAGGACAATGATACAAACTTAGAATAATTCTTAAAAGTAAGCTACAAAATATGGTTTCTCAAACACATATATTTATTGAGCTACAAATACACAAATTAGAATTCACATAGAATCTTGAGGAAGTTTACTCTTGTGATTCAAGACATAAACTTGCACAAGGGTATAAGTATGTAGGATTATCCACATTTAGTATTACAACTGCTCCCTTACAGGAGAAATATCAATTATAGTGCTTGGATTTCCACATTTACTGTAAAGGAGAAACGTCAATTATAATGCTCTAATAGTGTGTGTCGTGGACCTGGTTTCCAAGGAAGCACATAAGGTAATTCACTTCCAATTGATATCTAAAATTAAAGGTATGCTAAAAGATAGAGCAACTAAAGTACTAAGAAAAATCTCTCAGAGCACGCGAGCAAGTGTGCACCTAGGCCAGAAATGCCCAGAGGACGGCCACGCAAAGGGCAACCTAACGATCTTGGACCTGGGAAGAACATGCAGGCTTGGGAAAGAGGCAACAGTGCGAAAGGACCCATAGGAAAAGGGAATGGTAAGGTTCCACTGGAGTACCGGACCAAGGAAGCTCTGTCACTGAAGCTTGGCCTCCACGATTTGTCGAATCCATCTTCATACTAATATGCCTGTTGTGGTGGGAGGACCTAGTAGCTCGGCGAGCTCAAGAAAGATTGCTTCGCCTAGTGCAGTTCAGATTTTGCCAAGCCAGCAAAAGACCAATGAAGCTGTGGGAGTTGTTTTGTCCAAACAAGGGACAAGGACTCAAAAGCTCCTGGTTGTGATGTTCCACAATGCATGCTTTTTCAAAGAGGGGGGGGGCGGGGGGGGTTGTTATTGGAGAGTTCACTTATGCAGTCTTGGGATTCTTCTCTAGTGGATCAATGTTCAAGCCTACTACAGTAACACTGATTCCCAAGGTGCAGAACCCAACTAAGATCACTGAGTACAGGCCAATATCATGTTGTACTATCTTATACAAACTTATCTCAAAGATACTGACCCACAGGATGCAGAAGGTGATGGATGGATTGGTGGATGCAATTTTATCCCTGGTAGAGTGGTAGTGTGATTACTGATAACATTATTATGTGCCGTGACCTCATTAAATGGTATGGGAAGAAAAAGATCTAACTAGGTGTATGCTGAAGATTGACATGAAGAAAGCTTAAGAATCCATTGAATGGACCTTCCCACAACAGGTTCTCAAGGCTTTGAGCTTTCCCACACAGCTCATAAGCTGGATTATGACCCGTGTTACCACAGCTTCACATTTTACACTTATTAATGGCACCCCTTCCCATGCCAAGAAGGGTCTAAGGCAAGGAGACCCCTTGTCCGCATTCCTTTTTGTATTACCCATGGAATACTTGAATAGACGGCTGAAAACCTTGAAGAAGCAACCTGATTTTAATTTTCATCCCAAGTGTGAGAAATTGTGCATACCTTGGGTTTGCAGATAACTTGTTGCTTTTTTGCAGGGGTGACCTTAAATCTGTCTCTATGTGACTGTATTACTGCCTTCTCTAGTGCTTCTGGTCTTGCGAACTGAGAAGAGCTTCATTTATTTTGGAGGTGTAAATGTGGCTGACCAAGCAGCTATACTACAGCTTCTGGGATTTACAAAAGGTGCTCTTCCTTTCAAGTACCAAGGTATACCCCTCACGGCCTCACCTAAAAGAAAACCTCAGTGACTCAGTACAAGCCCCTTATAGATAAGATGATGGACAAGGCTAAGCCTTGTGCCTCTAGATTCCTATCCTATGCTGGTAAGGTACAATTAATCAAATCTGTCTTGTTCTCTGTCCAAAACTTTTGGTTACAAGTTTTTATTCTGCCCAAGAAAATGATTCACTTTGCAGAGTCCTTGTGTAAGGATTCCCATGGGCTGGGGGTGCTGAGCCCTCAAAAAGGCTTTGATAGCTTGGGAAAAGTTATGTATCCCAAAGACAGCGGGTGGTTTTGAATTTTTAGATATGATTGATTGGAATAGAGCTGCCATTTGTAAGCACTCAGTGTTTGAATAAGGACAGGTTATGGATCCAATGGTTCCATACCTACTTCATTAAAGGAGACAGTACATGGAATGTTCATGATAACCAAGCCTCATGGATGATCAAAAAGATCCTCAATGCCAAAAGAACTATGGAAGCAGCTGGCTATGAGGAGCAGGATGTTGCTGCTATGACTAAATTCAGCACAGAAACTGTCCATTATAAGATGAGGGGGGACACTACACTATAGTGAAGGGGATGAAGTTACTATCCAACAACCATGGGGCACCTAGATGGCTGTTTGGAGAAGACTCCTACCTAAATATAGGCCAAATGGAGTATTCTACCTGACATGCCCTACCTTCTTTGCACCGACACTGATGAGAGCCTGGACAATTTGTTCTTCAAGTGCCAGTACTCAGCTGCCGTTTGGGATAGGCTGCTCTCATGGCTGGCCATTCAAAGGGTATCTCTGGATTGGCATGAAGAAGTGATGTAGGCTGTTAGACATGCTAGTGGCAAGTCAGTGCAAGCTATCCTATACAGATTGGATTTAGCATGCTGTCTATAATTGGTACAGCATGAAATAAACATGAGGTCCCTTGTAAATATTTATTTTATTTTATTTTTCTCTTCTTTTGCTCCCCTCTGTTTGCAGGTCACCGGCATCTCCTAAATGCTGAAGAATACACCATTACCATTTTCAAA